ACAAAACAAACAGACAAACAATTTGAAAATGGTAAATATAGACAAAAGCGTAACGGGTATTTATCACGAAATTCTGTAAAAGCATTGTATGTGCAGACGGAGCCTACAGATTTGTATATTAGTAAAGATAAAGTAATTTGTAAGTTTTTCTTTGAATTTAGGTCCCCTCCGTACCATAAACTTAAATTGTTTCCTGAGCAACTTTTCTACGTGTTTTATAGATTGCTCGCAAAAGATGCGTAACAAGGACCCTAACGGAGCCTGAGGGCAGTTGTTGGTGGCTCGTAATAAAATTGTGAAATAAATATTTAAGACCATAGAGCACAACGAAGAATACGTAGTTAGGTGACGTAGAGTGACCCAACAGAGAGCACTCATTCTCTTCTGTGAGTACCGAAAAGCATGTTATCTCGCATGTAGTCCATAATGTCACGCCTTTGCGTAGCTATAACTATCTATGTACCATCGATATGGCAAATTTAAATAAGCGCTAGTTATCCTGACTCGATACAGTTAAATTAATCACAGCAATTAAACATATGCGATGTTTACAAATAGTCAGTCCGAACTGGAGCAAATATACTTATTAAGTTGTTGCTTAATAATATTAGCATCACGTTTTTAATAAGAAATATCCAATGATAATTTTGTTATAATACTACTTCATAATGAGTAAATTATGTATATATATATTGCATCTTTTCATAAATATTCATAATCTCCTCTCTCTTTATAAAACAATTTTGCCAAAGAAACCATAGTCATTGAAGTAGCCATTTCTGAGAAAAATAACCTAGAACATCTACGGAAAAATGTCATACTGACAGCCTTAGAATAGCTGACACGTATACTGTGCCGCTGCGCACCGCGCGGCTGGAGACCCGCGGCCTTATTATTTAAAGAAATCAATTTCTGATTTTGCATGATTTTAAAATTATTTTAGTCATTCCCACCTTGATATTCCGGAAATGCTAATTGTCTTTTTGTGAACAGTGACGCCTCTACAATGAAATAACTTAATTATAAAAATGAAATTTAATCTCATATTGAATTCAAAAACCGTTAAGGATCGCTATTTTGCAACTATTTTAAAATCACGCTCTCAAAGCTAATACCGAACTTTAGCGATTCTCAAACGATTTGCGATCGATTTTCCGTCGTACGTATTTCGTATAAGGTGACGAATTATTTTTTATGTAAATCGTTAGATTAAATGAAACATTTCCACATTTATCGAGAACTGATGACATTACAATGATATGGTATAATTGGACTGATCTGATGATGTAGCCGGAAGATAAGCATTGGGACATAATAGGACGACGTAGTCTAGCTCTATTTGGACTTGATGGAATTTTCTTTAAATGCACTTTGGCCGTAATTGGCTTCCAGGGTCTGGAAGTTTGAAAGCTCCATCATAAGACCCTGAACGTCAATCATGGCCAAAATAAATTTCAGGGCAATTCCAACAAGCCCAAACACGGTTAAGATATGTTGGTCCGGTGTATTGTGTCATGTAGTTCTGGTGGACACCGTCGGGCTCCATCTTCAGACTCTGAAATCCAATTACGGCCAAAGTGCACTTTTAGAAAATTCTATTACACCCAGATACGACTAGGCTACATCATTTTATTGTGGAGTGATGGTGCTAACCTTCCAGCTCCATCATCAGACCCTGAAAATCACTTATGGTAAGAGTCTATCTCAAGCCAACTCTAACAAGCTCAAGCACGATATGTTATTGTTATAACGGAATATCGTTATAGAGTTCCTGTGCCTAGTTTCTGGCTCCATCATCACATCAGTCCAATTATACCATATTATTGTATAGTCATCGGTCCTGGATAAGTGTACAAAGTTTTAATTTGGAATGCTTTAAAGTCGCTCAAAATTACATATACGAATAACATGATGCATGATAAAACCATCCTGTACATATATTGTCATGCCCGAAGGCAAAGCTCTCAGAGCTTTTGGGATGGTTTCTTTAATTAATAACAACGATGAGAATTTTCTTAATTGCTCTTTATTTTTTACACTTATTAACTTAGCTTCATTCACTTCTTATTGAGCTAATTCGTTGTTTTTCTAGATTACTTGCGGGGTCGTGCCCGCACGCAAATTCTCTTACTGTTTTTCTAAGTTCTCGAACGTCTTGAGTGTTCTCTGACGTCTAAATAATAAAAAAAAAACTATTATTTCTGTAGTACATGTAATGCCGAGGATGAAAAACGTGAGACATTCATTACTTTAGGAAGCTTCCTTCCATATAAAGTTATCTTACTATATCGGGGGGTAGTTGACAAACGACGGTACAATAAGACGCGCCCCCCCATTTCTCCTACTTCGGTGTACGCCCATTATGAAGACGTAGCAAAAAGGGTCCACTGTGACGTCACATTGCATTAGTTAACACTATGTTCCGGAGCTTAAAGTGATGTTGGATATTGAAGAAATGTGTAGCTTAAGATACCAGAGATAAAAATATTAGGGTATAAAGATACCGGACTATGGTATCGAATAAATGATAATAATATCTCCGGACACACACACACACACACACACGAATACATATCGTTTGATCCCAAACTAAGTATCGAGACTTTGTATTATAGGTTTTTGATATAATACATAAATACATTTTTTTGTAAATATATGCATATAATACTTAGAAATACCTAGATTCAAGACAAACATTATTCTTTAAACGATTAAATATTGATTTTGTATGGGAAACGAACCCACGACGGCAATGCAGCGGGTGGGTCACTGCCTACTGCACCTATTCGGCAGTCACATAAAATGCATAGTGTGACACAAAAATAGCTAAATTTGCGATCAGCGAATTATATTATATATTAAATTATATTATATATAAATTATATTCGAACAAAATTAAAAAAAAAAACTTAATACAGACTACAAAACAAACAACTGAAAAATTATAAATGAAATAGGGGTTTCTTTGAGTTATAATGGTTACCAAACTATACATTCGTGTACGTGGTATTGATTTGTGGGGTATCGTAAATGAACCGTTAATATTGTTAATTAATTTACGTACCAAAACTGAATACCACCAATGGATTTATAGTTCAATTCGAGAGTTGTTTAATGTTCGTTTTTGTTCGCAAATTTTGCTGATCTGTATAAAGCCATTCTGGGTACGTGGAACCAAATTAAATTATGTAATATAATACTTATACACATATATTTATTCCTTACAGAGTAATGATAAGTTTATATACATAGATTGAAGAATAAAAACCTTTCATTAGATGCCAAACTTGGCATGACTATGAAATATTTTTTTTTGTTGTTATGCAAATCACATCTGCCATGGTGGACTAAATACTTTTTTTTTTCCTTAAATAAGTTTCCAGAGACTGTCTCATTTTCAGTAGCCCAGATTCTGTGATAAGTTCGTCTGATATGGGCTTTGTGACGTCATATGATATGACGTCACAAAGGCCATGGTACGCGTAGCTCGAAGACGTATCTAACGACACCTCATTGCTGCATGGTAACAGATGAATGTGCGCACATGCATAATAAAGTCATAAACCTCTGTAGTCGGATAAAATTATTAGCGAATGTTAAATTACGCTCAAAAAAGTGTATGAAAAACGACTGATATAAAGTGAATACGAAATTTTCTTACGAGCAAGAAAAGTGAAGTAATTATTACGATTTATGTGACAGTAATTTTTGCAAGAACATCTAAAGCCTAGATTAGCTAAACACTAATTTATGAGATACAATTATTTATACATATTTTTACTAGATTATATAAAAACTAAATACTAAAAACCTCTAAATAATATTGTGAATTAAATACAGAAAAAGAAGTATAAAATTATGCGAGTATTAGAATTTTCTATTATTTAAGTATTTGCAATAATTAATTGTTTTTTTTTTTTTGTTCATTAGTATCCGCTAAAGCCAAGTAAATAAATAAATTATCGCTATGAAACCCACTAATATTAAAACTTAGAAGATGTACCAAAGCCAACAACTAATTCTATAAGCATAAGAGGTGATATGATATGAGGCATGAGCATGGTGAAAGGTGATTAAACAAGAAACACGACTTCATGGGTCTGGCATGTCTTTAGCTGGTATTGATTCCAATAGCAGGCAACTATTATGTTTAGGTATGATGTTTGCTTTTGTTTTTGTTTTTTTAAGTAATTAATAATGTTTTTTTTGTACCTCATTGTACCTCGATTATACTTCTAAATTTTCAATGAAGATGCCAAACAGGATGCTGCGTTTTGTCGATAGTGTATAGAAAAAATATTCTTCTCGAAAAAACGTAATTAATCTAAGGAAGCGATAAGTAGCACCTAATGTATTGTACAAAAAAAAGTATATTTTTTATATTTATATGCAATGATAATAATATATAGTCTAGGGTAAAATACATACGTTATCATAAAAAAATATTTTAATAATTAAATTAATTTATATTGTAGTACTCCTTGGTGTGTTACAGATACAGCCGTGTTTTAAAACGCTTTTGACAATAATTGTTTTTGTTTCAATAATTTTGAAATATAATTAAGCCCAATTAAGTCTCTCGCTCAGTGTCACGAAGCTCACGGTTTTGTAATAAAAAATTGGCAGAACATGCATTTTATAAGTTGTTAAGCCAAAACAAGTTTGGTTTAACAATTTTTGAAATAAATCAACACAAATAACATAAATTCACCAAACTGTCATAAGCTCAAATTATCTTTACTCTGATATATAAAAAATGATATTTTATTATAAATATGTATTACAAAAATGCTTCTAAAGTAACGACGAAAAAGCGGACATCATAGATATTAAGAAGGACCAACATGAAATCGATTGTAAAACAAAATGCATAGATATTTATACAAAATGTTTAATATCTATGGACTCTTACGGTGTATAATTTGTATACAGAGCGAAGACGTTAGTTGACGTCACGTCGCAGTATAGACCTATTCGATTATTTCGCGCCCTGTGGCCGAGGCTCGTTAGCTCAGCGGTGAGAGCGCCCGTTTATGACTATAATAGCGGAGGACGGGGGTTCAAATCCCTCACGAGCTGTTCTTCCTTTTGTTTTTCATTTTCCTTTTTGATCAAGTATACACTTGCATACATTGAAAACATAATTTTTCCTTAGATCTATATAAAGTACGACTAATTGTTTTCATACCGGTCATAGTGAACGAAGCGAATGCCTGATATTAGGCGGGTTTTTGATTATTATTTTGTGGCATTATTATAAGAAAAAGACTTCAAACCGCTATAGCCAACTTAGGTATTGAGGTATATAATAAAAAATTAATTGATTATGGCGTAAATAGAAATTATTATTTTGCCATATAAAGGTGTATTAATAAAATTTATTTCTTTTTCGCTGAAATTATTACATAGCAGAATATATTAGTCAAAAAAAAAGACTGTGGGACTAAGTGGATTATGTTATTGAAACAGCAGATAGGAGAAAAAACCGGACAAGTGTTAATAGAACTCACATCTTGAGGGTTCGGTACAAATTTAATTATGTATGTATTATACATATTTCGTCTATAAAGCTACTGATACTGATGAGATATGGACCCTAGGAATTCCATAACTTTTACTATAAAAAAATAGGTTTTTTTTTTTTATATATACGAATTTTTGAAAATTTTATGCGTCCATAGAAGGAAATTAAAAAATTGTCCTCCCACATATTGATCTACGTCACCGTGCATACTCCAATTGCAAGTATAAGTTTATAATCACAAAAAAAAAACTCATATGACATAATTACAAATTAGGGATTTTTAGATTTTTTCCGATATATTTGTACTGTGAGACTTTTCTTCTTGCCTAATTTCAAGATTCCAGTTAAATGGGAAGTACCCTATAGGTTTTAATTTAGTTGCGAGTTCCAAATAATATTGTATTAAAGACAATCAAAAAAATATATTTACGAATTTTTGCAAATATATAGCAGTCGTTTTATTAGAATACTAATAATAATTAAACCTAATCGGTTTCAGCTAAAAATATTCCAGACGTGGACTATCTTCAATGGTCCACGATTTCATCGAAGCGATTCAATTCTTTTAGCGTTTTCTTTCATTTCCCTCGTACCTGTATTTCTCGCATTTATTTCACGTTATCGGCGAAAACAAGTAAATATTTATTTAATAATACGCGCGGACCCGACCGCGCGGTGCTCACGTATACGCGCGTATCACCCACAAAAGCATACCTTTGAGCATATTTGACTCGTCGCCGACGCGTTCCGTATTTCAAAACATTTTGCAGCTTATCAAAGCGGCGGACCATTACACAAATAAAAAGGATGCTCTTTGCCGGTGGAATAAAAAAAAAAAGCACTGAAAATAACATCTATCCGGCTACGTGAAAAATCGCGCGGGGATTTGTAAAGGTGAAAATGCAAGTTTACACCGTCTTAAAAAATGAGTTTTTTTTTTTGTACAAAAAGGTGGCGTTTAAAGCAGAAAACTAAAGTGTGAAAAGGAATTTGGCTATGGAAACATGAGATTGTAAGATTTAGTTTGTACTCATTAACGGTTTGCTTATTGAACCGTTATGGGATATTGAAAAAACTGGCCAAGAGCGTGTCGGACCATGCTCATTATAGGGTTCCGAACTCATTATTACAAAGAAATGTACTACAGATGAAAAAAGTACATTGTTACACTTTTTCCATGTTTCCCGCACAGAATAGTTATAAGCACTTTGGTCGCCTACAACTAGAGAAACAAGTAGGTATGTCGACTATTACTGTTAAACTAGTGTAAATTAAAGTGCATCAGCAAAAGGGCATATCTTCATGGCACTTACGTTCTTTTGTTGAGGATCGCAGTTTTTCTGCAATAACTCAAAAACAGTATATCTGATCATATGCAAAATAATTTGTGTTGAAAGTATTTATCAAGCGTTATTTTTTTCATTTTTTTTGAACATATGGTTTAGAAAATAAAAAGGGGGGGACACAATTTTTGTTACTTTGCGATTATTGCAGAAACTGTTCACATAATCAAAAACATTGCTTAAAAACCTTGAAGTGTTATATTTTAACTTTGGCATCACAATACATATACGAAAACCTGTATATGTCAAGAGAAATACATAATAGATGTTAAACGAGCGACATCCATAACATTAAGATATAAGAACGATCTTGCTGCTCATAGAACGCGTCTAAGCAAAGTTAACAAAATATTTATGGAGCAATGTGTGCGCTTTTATAATAAGATCCCAGCTGAAATTCAAAATTAGCCATTTTATGAATTTAAACGTTTCGTTAAAAGAAAGTTATATGGCAAGAGTTATTACACCGTGTCTGAATATTTTAATGAAAAAAAACCCATGGGATTGAACCGCTAGGCTATCAGGTTGCTTCACGTCATTACTAAGTGTTATACTAAATTATTAATTACTTAATATTTGTATCGATGAGTAAAAAAGAGTGAATCGTGAGTTTCTTGTCCATTCTTCTCGAGGTGAATCAGCACTTGTAATGGGTGGTAATGTGTTAATGTCGAAAACAGTCGTTTATTACGCATTTCAAGTGTAATTTCTATTACCTATGAAATGAAGCTATTTTTGATTTGATTGAATTGATTTGATTTACGTTTTGATATCGAATTCCATTTCAGAGTTTATAAGAGTTCCGTTTTTGTCATTTGACTCGGAACCATAAAAAGTGAAATTATCAGATACTGGTTCATTATTTTCCTAATTTTAAATTATGTACAATTGACAGTTTGAAGTATTAAGGGATATAGTGTATAATAACAGTAAAATTCAAAAAATATTGTTTTTTACAGCGTAACTACAGCACAGATAATCTAAATAGAATTTGAGTAATAATGACACAAAAACGATGTCGTGATTTTAAAGAATAAAAAAATAAATGCTTTTCCTTCATTTATGAAAAAAATCCGGTGAAAATTCCGATTTTCACACTTATTAAGTAATAATTGGGGTAAAGAAAATTATTTAAATATTATTGCTTTCAATAATTCTTTTTTTGACTCTTGATAAGTTTTTCAGCAATAATCAAGTGCTAAAAACATTTACAGTTTTTGTGCTCTATACAACCTTAGGATGCATTGAAAATGAAGTTAATAATAAAAAGAATATAATAAATAGAATAAAAAAAATTAGCACAAAAACAATATTTATTGTCTAAGTGTACATAAATTATTCCCATATTAAAAAAAAACATTTTAAAATGATTCCTAAATAAATCAATTGACATGAAAAAATTTATAATCAGGAAAAAAAAAACTTAAAAAATCGTGTTTTTATAAAAAGGTAGGTACTGCACTAAAAAGCAGAACAAAATTATTGATCATGTTTTCTCTGTCTACCCCGAAAGAGCCTGAGGATAAACCATGTTTGTAGTAAAAAATAATACTTGAATGTAAAAGCGCTGGGTGCTTAAGAAAAAAATTTTTCAATTATGTATTTTTGAGAAAAGTGTCCCACGCTTTCACTGTCAAATATTTTAGTTTTCTACAAACAAGGTATACCTTAGGCTCATTCGGGACTTACAGAGAGAACAGGTTCAATAATTATTTTCTGCTTCTTAACTACCTTAGTAGCTAGTGGCTATTAATACTTATAATACTAATAGTTATTAAGCCATTTGTGAGAGCCTGTTTTTTTTTCAGTTCTATTGAACTACTATTTTTTTCACTTTCTAGAGAAATATTGAAAAAAATGAACAACATCTAATTTTTTTTGTAATTTTGATGGTTGAACAACGCCTCTACAGCAGTTCGTAGGGGAGCAAGTTTGTTTAGGCCGAAAATTATATGGTGTTTCTAATTATCCTCGTACCATTCCACCATTAACATGTTTCTGATCTTGAGTTGGATAGAAATATAGGATTTTAATTTTCAGCTTTACTCCAAACCAAATTGCAGAAAGTCTAAACACGGTTAGATTTCGTCTGGTACATAATTCTTGCATTCATACCTTCTGTATTCATTATAAAATTCTTAAAACACATATTAATTAGTGGAGTAAATTTCAAGACAATTAAATCAAGTCCAAACGCGGCTACAATTCGTTCTCCCGTCGAGGAGTTCCAATGGCAAGTTTCAAAGTCTGTCATCAAAGTCTGAAGAATATTTTTCAATTCCAACAAGCCCAAACATGACTAAGATATGTCATTTCCTTATGGAGTTCCAATGTCAGACTTGCAAGTCCAACATCAGACCCTGAAAACTAATTATGGCCAAAGTTCATCCCACAACAATTCCAATAAGCCCAAATATGACTAGGATACGTTGTCTTATTATGGAGTGCAAATGCCAAACTTCCAGCTCCACAGTGAGTCCTTGAAAACAAATCATGGTAAGAATCCATCTCAAAACAATTCCAAGAAGCTCAAACACGGTTAGAATATGTAGTTTCGTTAAGGAGTTTTAGTGTCAACGTTTCGATTCCATCATCGAAGCCTAAAAGCCTGTAATGGGCAAAGTTTATTTTAAGATAATTCCAACAAGTCCAAACAGGGTGGGATACGTTGTATTATTATGGAGTGCTTATGTCTTCTTTTCAAATTCATCATCAGACGCTGAAAATCGCTGATGGCCGGAGTACATACCAAAATAATTCTAACAAGCTCGAACAACGTTATTCCAAGAAAGTTAATAAAAGCCTGTTAAAAATTACAACTTCCGTTCACTTATGCATGTCGTAAGTCAGGAAACGGCTGATTTAAAGAAATTCATAATTCAATTTTTTTTTATTACTTTCAAAAATAAAAAAAAAGGGATCTCCAGATGTTTAATGAATCTGGAAATATTAAAATTACAGATCTAAAAAAGAAATATTCGTATAGGTTCAATTTTACTTTCAAATTTTTTATTAAGAATACCTTCATAAAGTATTACTAAAGTACTAAATTACTTGAATGTTATCGTTTTAAATAATTCTTCTGTTGTTGTTTGAGAGAATTGTTCTATCTTATATGTATATATTAAAATATTGAAGTTCCAAAAATATTATGATTTCAAAATCAATTCTATACTAAAATGGCGTTCTGAATTTCAGCTCCAAAGAATCTG